GTGGAAAAATTTAAAATTCGGAGTGTTACATCCTTACCCCCTTAAAATAATTTCGTCCTCGAAATTACCTTATTTAGCCGAATAACTCTGGATACTTGGCTTTTATTTCTTCTTCTTTTTCCCAAGTAGCTTCTTCGACTCTATGGTGTTTCCATCGAACTTTAACTAAAGCAATTTCTTTATTCCTTAATGCATGTGTTTTGCTTTCGACAATCTCCAAAGGAGTCTCTTCATATGTTAGATCTTTCTGTACTTCCAATGAGTCATAGCTTATCACATGTTCGGGATCATGCACATACTTTATAAGCATCGACACGTGGAATACATTATGTACAGCTGATAGTCTAGGTGGCAATGCTAGACGGTACGCTACATTCCCAATTCTATCTAGAATTTCAAAAGGACCTATGAATCGAGGTCTCAACTTTCCTTTCTTGCCAAATCTAAGAACTCCTTTTATGGGTGCCACTTTTAGAAACACTTTTTCACCGACTTCAAATTCTATCGATTTTCTCCGCTGATCTGCATAGCTCTTCTGTCTATCTTGAGCAGACTTTATTCTGTCCCTAATTTTATCAATTACTTGCACTGTCCTTGCAATAATCTCTGGACCCAAAATTCGTTTTTCTCCGACTTCATCCCAATGAACTGGGGACCTACATCTTCTACCATAGAGAGCTTCATAAGGAGCCATGCCAATAGTAGTTTGGAAGGTATTATTGTATGCAAACTCCACTAATGATAGATATGACTCCCAACTACCTCCCAAATCCAAGACACATGCTCGGAGCATGTCTTCTAAGATTTGAATATTCCTTTCAGACTGTCCATCAGATTGAGGATGGTAGGCAGTGCTGAAATTTAACTTTGTCCCCATAGCTCCCTGCATGCTCTTCCAAAATTTAGAAGTAAATCTTGGGTCTCGGTCTGAGACAATGGATGTTGGAATTCCATGCAGCCTAACAATTTCCTTAACATATAATTGAGCAAATTGATCCATACTATAGTTCATTCTTATTGGAAGGAAATGAGCAGACTTTGTCAACCTGTCTACAATTACCCAGATGGCGTCGTGTCCTTTCATTGACTTCGGAAAACCTACTACAAAATCCATGGCTATTTGTTCCCATTTCCACTCTGGAATTTCTAATGGATTTAATGGTCCTGATGGCCTTTGATGTTCCGCTTTAACTTGCTGACATACAATACACTTTTTAACAAAGAGACCAATCCCCCTTTTCATATTCCGCCACCAAAAGGTATCGCGGAGGTCTCGATACATTTTAGTACCACCGGGATGTGCAGCATACGGGGCATAGTGAGCTTCCTCTAATATTTCTTTTCTTATCCCTTCATCCCTTGGTACACATAATCTTCCCTCGAACATCAAAGCATTGTCATCCGCTATTACAAAACCTTTTCTCTTAGTCGTACCAACTTCCGTCTTGATTTTTCTCAAGAATGGATCATTGTTTTGAGCATCCTTGATTGGTTCCCGAAGGGTAGGTTGTATCTTAAATGCTGAAATTTTTGCAGTAACTTGAGTTGGTGGAATGACAACTTCCAATTTCAATTTATCAAACTCCTTTATCAACTGTACTTGATCTGTGGGTAAAGTTGCTAGTTGTCCTACTGTCTTCCTACTAAGGGCATCTGCGACTATATTAGCTTTACCTGGATGATAATAAATAGTGCAATCATAATCCTTAACTAACTCTAGCCACCTTCTCTGTCTCATATTCAACTCCTTTTGAGTGAAAAAGTATTTCAAACTCTTATGATCTGTATAGATTTCACACTTTCCCCCGTAAAGGTAGTGACACCATATCTTTAGAGCGTGTACTACCGCTGCCAACTCTATATCATGTGTAGGGTAGTTTTGCTCATGTTGCTTTAATTGTCTAGAGGCATATGCGATTACCTTCCCAAACTACATCAGTACACATCCCAAACCTTGTTTGGATGCATCACTATATATAACGAATCCATCTGAACCCTCTGGTATAGCTAAAACTGGAGCTGTAACCAGTTTCTGTTTCAGTTCTTGGAAGCTCTCCTCACATTTCTCAGTCCACTGAAATTTTACACCCTTTCTTGTTAATTGGGTCATTGGCCCGGCTATTTTGGAGAATCCCTCAATGAATCTCCGATAATAACCGACTAGTCCCAAGAAACTACGAACTTCGCCTACATTTGTTGGTCGGGACCAGTTTGTTACTGCTTCAACTTTACTAGGGTCCACTTCAATTCCTTGTGCTGTAACCACATGACCAAGAAAAACTATACGATCAAGCCAAAATTCACATTTCTTGAATTTGGCATACAACTTCTCCCTTCGTAGTGTCTCCAACACTATTTTAAGTTGTTCTTCATGTTGGTCCTTATTCCTTGAATACACCAAAATGTCATCAATGAAGACAATGACAAATTGATCTAAATACTGGTGGAATACCCTATTCATTAAATCCATAAATACTGCAGGGGCATTTGTTAATCCAAAGGGCATTACCGTAAACTCATAATGACCATAGCGAGTTCTAAATGCTGTCTTTGGAATGTCATTTGCCTTCACCTTCAACTGATGATAGCCCGACCTCAAATCAATTTTGGAAAATACTGTTGCACCCTTCAACTGATTAAAGAGATCTTCGATCCAAGGAAGAGGATATTTGTTCTTGATTGTCAATCGGTTAAGTTCCCTATAATCAATACATAATCTCATTGACCCATCCTTCTTCTTCACAAACAAAACCGGTGCCCCCCAAGGAGATGTACTAGGTTGGATGAAACCTTTATCCAACAACTCCTGCAACTGTATCTTTAATTCTTGTAGTTCCTTTGGCGCCATCCAATATGGAGCTCTAGACACTGGAGTTGCACCAGGTACGAGGTCAATTGTAAACTCCAATTGCCTATCTGGTGGCGCGCCAGGTAAGTCATCAAGAAATACATCAATGAAATCTCGTACAATCGGCACATTACAAATCGTAAGCTCCGATTGTTGAGTTCCATGTATACTCACTAGAAATCCTTGACAGGATCTTTTCTTTAACATCTTTTCTGCTTTCATGGTCGACACGATTCGAGGTAAAGACTTAACTTGTACCGCGAAAAATCGAAATTCATCCTCTCCAGGCCTCTGAAAAACTACTTCCTTTTCAAAACATCGAATGGTTGCGTGATTGCTTCCCAACCAGTCCATTCCTAGAATAACGTCAAAGTCTTTCATGTCTAGGAGGTGTAGATCAGCTACAAATTCTTTTCCTTCCATTACTAATTTTACTGCCCTAGCGATCTGATTGGTATTCAAAATTCTACCAGATGGAATAGAAATTTCTAGAACACTATCAGATTTTTCACATGCAGTACGTGATTTAGCAATAAATGCAGTGGAGATAAATGAATGAGTAGCTCCGGAGTCTATAAGAACATATGCAGGTAGTTCAGATATTGATAAAATACCTGCCATTACATTTGGATCCTCTGTTGCCTCTTCCCGGGTTAAAGCAAAGACTTTGGCTTTCACTTTCCTTCCCTGTTCATTATCCTTCTTAGGTGGGTATGCCTTGCAATCCGAAGCAAAATGACCTTCTTGGCCACATCGATAGCATACATTTTTCCCAAACCAGCACTCCCCTCCATGGGCCTTATTGCACTTTGGGCATCGTGGAGTAACTTTATTTGGTTTACTTGACCCTGATCCTGATCCTATATTGGGATTCTTAAATTGTCCAAATCCCTTCCCTTTATTCAATCCATTCCACTTTCGTTTCCCATATGACTCATTATTCTTCTCAGTCATCCGATCCATTTCTAGACGATCAGAAATTGACTGCGCTCGTTGAAGTACTTCACTATATGTGGTCGTATGGTGAGATTCCATGATTCCTCCAATCTCTGGACTTAGGCCTAATTCGAACCTTCTAGCCTTCTTTGGCTCGGTATCGACAAGATGTGTAGCATACCTAGAAAGTTGTTCAAACTTCCTTTCATACTCATCAAGCGACATATTTCCTTGTTTCAGCTGTAGGAACTCTGCCTCTCTCCGATCCCTCAGTGATTGAGGAAAGTATTTTGTCATTACCTCTTCCTTGAACTGTGCCCAAGTCATAGCACATTGTTGCGCTTCCGTTCTAGTGCGCGAAGCAGACTCCCACCAGTGGCCTGCTGCTCCAACTAGCATAAACTCGGCACATGATACCTTTTGTGCATCAGTGCATGCCATGTGTTTGTAGATTCATTCTAGCCCTCTTAACCACTCCTCGGCTGCCAAAGGGTCTGCTTTGCCATCAAAAGAAGGAAGTTTAAAACGGCGAAACTGCTCCACAATTGAACTTGTGTTGCCGGTCCATTCTGAGGAGCTGGTGCGGGTGCTTGATCCCTACCAAGGTCATGTACTGCCCTCATCAAATCCCTAAACATAGTTGCTTGATCTTGTTGTCCTGCCATTTCCTTTAAATTAACAAAATAAATTTTGTCTTAGGAACGTTGACAACACAGTAGCTCAAAGGAAATTATTATTATTATTATTTTTATTTCCAATAACATAAAGGAAAAGATATCACAGTACCAAGGAAATGGAATCTAAATTTCTAAACCCTATAACTTCTGCAAATCTTCTTTAACGGAGCTTCATCTTCAGAGGAGTCTTCTGCTTCAGGCCCGGACTCTACGTCTATCTCAACCAGTGGCTCAGGTTCATGCTCATGATCGTTCTCTAACTCTAGCCTAAAGTCATCCTGTTGTTCCCATTCGGGATCTTCCTCTGGGTCCGACTCAATTTGAGGTTCTGGCTCATCATTGAGCTCGTTCCCTACCTCCAGTTGGCGTTCTAAACTTTCACTCCACCTATCTAGAAGGGTCTGACAATATACATCAAACTCAATCGTGTTTGGATGCTCTGGGGGGTTACCTTCTAACATCTCATTCCTAACCATAACTCCCATGTCTCCCCATTGAGGTGGAAGTGAATGTACGAGATTATTCACAGCCTCAATATGAGTGATCTCTAGTCCTGCCTCCACAGCTGCCATACATTTTTCATAGATGTCTTGCATGTGTTCAACAAGTGGACGAGTCGGGTCAGTCACGAAATTCTCATAAGACTGAATGATGGACCTACGGTTCAACGCTGCTCTATAAGTCGTGGCCTTTCTAGTGGTCTGATAAATTCTAACCATTGTATGTAACACACGGTTCCAATTATATTTATTTTTGTAGTAATATCAAAGTACATGTTATGCTCTTGTGATTTTAATAGGAATTTTTTTTTTCTTATCAATATACCTTCATGTATAATAGCATGCATAACATATTTCTTTTTAGACGTTCATTTATAATCATTTCATAGAATTCAAGCTTAAATGATACATAAAGTCATGCTTGAAAATAAAATGAAACTTAATATTTTCTTCATACCTTGAGTCTGTCGGACGGTAGTAGATTGACGAGTGCTAATGTCATGGGTCTTATTTTAAATACTTGTTTAGTGAAAATTTTCATACAAGTAATATAAACAAGTAGGCATGTACTCAACATAAGTTGAAACTGCTTTCTTAACAAGTTGATTAGTTATATTGAAATAAGTAGAGTAAAATCATTTCATTTACTTTAGAAATTACCCTTCTTTTTTTTTTTTTTTTTAGTACACACACTTGGTTTCTAGTGCATATACCCATTTAATACATATATCACACTTCCATGCAATTAAGCTTTTAAATTTTAATTTAATCATTATAAAGAAACTAAACATTCAAACAGTTTATTCAAAATAAATTCTATTAATTTCACAATCATAAATATTTAATAGACAAAACAAAAATTATATATTTATATTTCATGTAGACCACTAAGTCTTCGAAATAAATTATCATTCTAAGAAAAATAATTTATACACGTAAATCACATTTGAATATGATGAAGAAATATATATACTTTTTTTTCAAAAAAAAAACGACGAGTCTACAGAATCGACTAAACTCGTGCTCTGATACCATTCTGTAACGCCTCGAACTCTTTTTCATTATTATTATTATTTTTTAAATAAAAATGAGCTCAAGGTGCTACCAAAACTTTTCTCTATCTAATTTAGGCGGAAATATATCGAAAATATTTGATTTCAAATTATTAAACAACATAATAAATATCGTGCATAAATATTAACACAAAAAGATATTCTTTATATAAATTGACTATTGTCTTTTCTAGAAACCTGATGGTCTATCCCGAAGGATTTAACTTCTTCTCTTTGACCTAATGGTCTATCCCGAAGGATTTAACATAGCATTCGACCCGAAGGCCTTAAAGTATCTCATGCCAAAATTTACATATATATCAAGGAATAAGAATTTATCACTTGCACCATGTATTCTTACCTCAATTGACACCAAAGAATTTCTGAAAATGATTTATGAAATAAAATGATATTCCTTCTCAAAAGTATGAGTGTGTGTAGACGTGTGAAATACTAATAATCTGTATGAGTAAAGGAGAATTTGTCACTTCAGTGCTCTCATATCCACTTTTATACGCAGAACATGTGACTATAGAGATTCTAACGTAATTTGATGTTAATTAGGTTTCATGTGGGTTAATTACTCTATCACTAATGAGCTTAGTAAATTTTAAATTATTAATTTTCAATTTTCGTTTCATTTCCCCAAGTAACCGTATGAATTAAATTGGAAATGAAAGTTTTGTTTTTATTATTTTATTATTATCTATATTAATAAAATATTAAATACTAACAGTTTTCTTTTTATTAGAATAACTCGGACATACTAGCTCAAAATTACTTTTTCTTAATTCCAAATTATACTATTTGACAAGAGCTATAAAATGAGTATAATATCGATATATTTTTAATAACTTTTTAAAATACTTAAATATTCGATCCAAATAAGTTACGATAAATTAAAAATATACGCTTGCGGAATAAACCATTTATGCAAATAAGTGGGACGTGTTTATCACTTCAACTTTTCGACTTTAGTGTGACGACAGTGTTGGACATGGATTATTTTATTTGTTAAATTACCAACCCACGTGGAAAAATTTAAAATTCGGAGTGTTACAAAAGCACAATGAGCAACTTTAGAATTTTCGCCCATGACTCTGTTATTCATAAATGGGGGTAAGTAGGTATCATGAGACATGTAAAACTCTTCAAATTGCAACCTAGGGTTTGGTCGGATACAAATGTCGCTCAAGCGAGTAGCTAGCCATAGGTGAGCGATAGCTAAGCAGACGTTAGTATTTTCATTATAACTTTATCTTTCAACATCTGATGGAGGTGATTCAAAATGCGTTGAAAAGCTCACTCAAAGGGCTACAAATATTCTAGTTGTCTAAATTCCAATGTTTTCTATGCGAAAAATGCGTTGCAAGTTATGATTGAGTTGGAACATAACTTGTGCTGCTCTTTGATATCTTTTAGATCATATGTGATCTTCTTGGACATCTTGAACTCCTTCAAGGACTATACGACCAACTCTTTTATATTAATCTATTTGTCTAAAAATTGCCAATACACTATAAACCTAACAATCTCCTCTTTTGGCATTCTATGAAAAAACTATACAATAAAGTCAAGATAGTAAAAGCAAAAATCTAATCTATCCAAATTTCGTTTCTTGCATTCTTTGTTAAACCTGTTCCTGAAATCAAAAACTTAAATACCCAGTTTAAAAGCATGTGATAAAATGTAACAATTGAAGTTTATAATCATAAATAAGCGTGCTAGTTTGAGACGTGACAATAGTGTCAATCAAAACACCAACCAAAAAATTAACATCACAAAACATCAAAACTCAATCAGTTGTGCATTATGATATGGAATGCAATGCAATGCAAATGCTTCCCCTTACTGCAAATTCTCAAGATTTTTATGCAGTATCAAAATGTATCTATGTCTCTTCCCAACGACCCCTAGATATAGCAATACAAAATGTTAATCAATCAAATAGTGAAAACACTGTATGTAAATCGTTCTATGCTCCCCCTCAATTTATATTTCTATCCTCCTTTTTGTCACAAATGCTTAATGGAATACTATCAAAATCAAACAGAGCAATAACATATAATAACTTTAAAATGTAGTGATAGCAAGGACAAGAAAAATCAATAGACTATAAACCTTCTCACATACTCAGTTCATATCAGAATGGAGTAAATAGTGCAAATGACTCATGTTTGTAAAATGTCACTAATCCAATGCAAGCAGGACTCCAAATCTTAATTTTGTAAGAAAGGACATGCCAATTACTGCCCAATAAGTATATTCCCCTACTAATTAAGGTCAAACCATGAAAGTACAGTATGACCTATACTTATTATTTTTTATTTTTCTCCCTCTTACTTTGAGTATTTATATTTTTCAATTTTCCATATTTCTTCAGCTCTTCATATTTTTCACATTTTTAAGCTCATTTATTCTTCGTCTTAAGTGTAGGTTCTTCTCCATTAGACGACTGAGATGACCCCTATAACAAGCTTTAGGCTGATTAATCCAAGTCAGTTGATTATAGGCACCAAGTTTTAAGAGATTCTGCACGCTTAATTGTTAGAGTCAAATAGGCCCCGAAGAAGAGAATTAAGATAATGAGCTTTTACATGGGAGAATATTTTTGGGCTTAGGTCTACTGAATTAGGTCAATTCATGTTTGAAGTCACCCTATTGACATGTGACAGCCAACCTAAGTTTCACATATGCGGTAGCGTCCGACTAACAAATTCATAGTATGTGCAATGCAGATGATACATAAAGAAACCTATATCAAGTAATCTAAACAAGTAATGAAAATTACTCTATAACTTATCAATTCAGCTCATACATGATCACAACATGCAAATTCCAGAAACATGTCATACTGTAGAAGTGTTCCATAACCAACTATTTTTGTGTTTTTCAAATTTTCAATTCTTTTTTTCTATTTTTCATTTTTCCAAGAATGAATGCCCACACACAAAAGAGAAAAAATAAAGTCAAGCATACAAAATAAACATAAAATATGCATACTCCAAAGCAAACCAATGTAGATGTACATGCATGAAACCAAAAATAAAGCAAAAGAGAAATAAAAACATACAAATGATGCATGCATATATAATATGACAGTTAAGAACAAGCATGCATAAAAATACCTAATCATCTAGGTATATGAGTGCCTTGTTCCCTTAAGAGCACCGTGATCTACTATTAGATTTGGTAGTTCACTCTTCTTCATCCAAACCTGCCTGATGAGAGAACACTTTCCAGACAATTATGTCACCAATTTGGTCAAATGATTCACTTG